AAAGAGAAGGCTGAGGGGGGATCTTGTGGCCTGTTATAAACTAGTCAGGGGGGATCAGCAGGCATTGGGGGAGTCACTGTTCCCCTGAGCACCGCCAGGAGTGACCAGGAATAATGGTCACAAGCTGGCAGAGGGTAGGTTTAAGTTAGACATCAGGAGGCGCTATTTCATGGTCAGGGCGGCTAGGGTCTGGAACCAACTTCCAAGGGAGGTGGTGTAGGCTCCTTCCCTGAGGGTTTTTAAGAGGAGGTTAGATGAATACCTTGCTGGGGTCGTTTGACCCCAGTACTCTTTCCTGCCATGGCAGGGGGTCAGACTAGATGATCTGCTCAGGTCTCTTCCGACCCTAGAAACTATGAAACTAAGTTAGAACTGATCATAGAACTTACAAACTATACAGACCTACTTTAGTACCAGGTAAGATGGAAGAAAAGATTATATGAAAAAAAGAAATGAATATTAGTTGGAGGAGACGCATGGTTATGGTTTGGATTGGAGGAGGCTTTGGGGTCATCAAGTTTCTAGCTGTTGCAAGTACCATATCATATAGTCCCTTCACTAAAACCGATCCTGCTCTGTCTTAAAAAATAACTTAAGTTTTTCTTGCACCAAAAGTAGACAGAGTTTCTTACTTACTCATGACAAATAATTAGTTTACTCGTGAAAATTAGTCTCACAGTAATTCTCTCTTCCTTAATAGTTTCGTTTACATATTATTCTCTTTGAAATCTGTAATAAACCAGAAAGTTGTGAAGACTGGAAAGAACACTATTTACTGATGAGAACCAGCATGAGAAACTGAGGGGGAGTAGGGAGCTTTGGAGGCACTGAGTGTGGTACTTGGATTGCTGGTTGCACATCTCCTGAATTGCAGTACAGTAAGGAGTCTGAGACTGGGCATCTTAATCATTTTGTTCTTCTCCTGTTAGAGACATGCACAGTGGAAATGGAAACATTTTACAGACTGAAGAAATCACAGAATTGATTGTTAGTCTTTCATATTCTGGAGGCTATATTTTGCATCTGTAGATGCAAGTCAGCGGGTCTGGATGCCCTCCACCCCAGGGTATTGAGGGAGCTAGCTGGGGTTATTGCAGGGCCCCTGGCACGGCTCTATGAGCGATCGTGGTGCTTGGGCCAGGTGCCAGATGATTGGAAGGTAGCAAATGTGGTCCCCATCTTCAAGAAGGGGAAGAGGGAGGACCCGGGTAACTATAGGCCCGTCAGTCTTACCTCAATCCTGGGGAAACTCTTTGAGAAGATCATCAAGGAGCACATTTGTGATGGGCCGGCATCAGAAATGATGCTCAGGGGCAATCAGCATGGATTTATTAGGGGGAGATCATGTCAGACCAACCTGATTGCCTTCTACGATCAGGTCACAAAGGCCATGGATGCAGGTGTCGCGGTGGATGTAGTCTTTCTGGACTTCAGCAAGGCCTTTGACACCGTCTCTCACCCCATCCTAGTTAAAAAACTAGGCGACTGTGGCATCGATGCCTACACAGTCAGATGGATTGCAGATTGGCTGAGGGGTCGCACTCAGAGGGTGGTGGTGGATGGGTCATACTCGACCTGGGGGGAGGTGGGTAGCGGAGTCCCCCAGGGCTCGGTCCTGGGGCCTGCGCTGTTCAATTTCTTCATCAGCGATCTGGATGATGGGGTGGAAAGTAACCTGTTTAAATTCGCTGATGACACCAAAATCTGGGGGGAGGTGAGCACGCTAGCAGGGAGGGAGAGATTGCAGAGGGATCTGGATAGGTTACAGGGGTGGGCTAACAGGAACAGGATGCGTTTTAACACGGACAAGTGCAGGGTGCTGCACTTGGGCAGTAGGAACCAGCAGCACACTTACACAATGGGGAACTCCCTACTCGAGAGCACGGAGGCAGAAAGAGATCTTGGAGTCATTATTGACTCCAAGATGAACATGGGCCGACAATGCGAGGTCATGGTTGGCAGGGCTAACCGGACCTTGTCGTGCATCCACAGGTGCATCTCGAGTAGAGCCAAGGAGGTGATCCTCCCCCTCTACGCGACGCTGGTCAGGCCACAGCTGGAGTATTGTGTCCAGTTCTGTGCGCCCCATTTCAAGAGGGATGTGGACAACATGGAGAGGGTCCAGAGGAGGGCCACCCGCATGATCCGGGGACAACAGGGCAGACCCTACAGTGAGAGACTGCGGGACCTGAACCTATTCAGCCTCCACAAGAGAAGGCTGAGGGGGGACCTGGTGACCGTCTATAGACTCACTAGGGGGGACCAGAAGGGTTTGGGGGAGACGCTGTTTCCCCTAGCGCCCGCTGGCATAACAAGGAGTAATGGGCACAAGTTGATGGAGAGGAGGTATAGATTGGACATCCGCAAAAACTACTTCACAGTTAGGGCGGCTAGGAGCTGGAACCAACTTCCAAGGGAAGTGGTGCTGGCCCCTACCCTGGGGGTCTTTAAGAAGAGGCTGGATGCCTACCTGGCTGGACTCATTTGAGTCCCGTTTCTTGTTTTGGGGTTTTGTTGTTCTCCCGCCCTGGCGGGGGGTCGGGCTAGAAGATCTACTAGGTCCCTTCTGACCCTAAATCTATGAAACTATGAAACTAAGTTAGTTTTCTTTTTGGATGAAAACTTAAATTTGACAGAAGTTGGTGACTTAGGCTTAATTCATTTCCTGTTCATCAGTGGCAAATAGGTAGATTTTTCAAGATCTCAACTACAGCTACATAAATGTGCCCTCTGTTTCACTGTGTTTTTGAAAAGCAAGAATAATAAAAACGTTATTCAAAATTAGCTGTGTATGCAGAATGCTTAAATATATCATTCATTTTCTGTTTTTCTGAGTGACTAAATCTTTCATTGTACTGGGTATTAGAAGAAAATTAATTTAGAGGTCATATCTTTTAAAGTAGTCTTTAAAAGGAAATGCAACAGATCTATTTATAATTATTAAAATTTATTGGCAAAGATCTACCAAATATTTATTTTTCCCTTGTACATCAAACAAGCTGATCATTCTGAAAAAAAAACCCAAAGCTCTTCACTGCAGTGGTCCATCAGAAGACTTTAAATGCTAGACCATTGTTTGAGGGTATGGGGATATAGCCAGGTACCACCCAGAATCACTCCTTAAAGTCTGTAGTTCTGGCAGTTTCTGGATACCTGTTTTGCTGTGTATGTATTTTATTTTATTTCTGTGTTCATTACATACTTTTAAAATCTATAAAGTGTGATCTGTACATCAGAAACTCATTAAAATAAGACTTGTAAAAATGTCTTAGGATAAACGCAGCCTGCCTGCCACTCTCTTCCTGGCCACCCATATTCCTTGGGTGGAGTTTCATTTTAAATATGTAAGGATTTTCTGTTATTTCATTCCATCTTTCCAATTATGACCCTGTTTTTTGATTTTCTTTGATTCTAATATTTCATCTTTTTTTTTTTTTTTAGAATACTTGAATGTTTTATTGTCTTTGCAAATTTATTTTAGGGCTGCCTCTAGCCATACCACAGAGAGGCAGATGTCACATGACCTGGTTGCAGTTGGCAGAAAAAATGAAAATTTTCATCCAGTCTTTGAGCACATGGAATCTGTGCCACAGAATGTTGAAAATAACCCATCAAGAGAATTTACTCAGGAAATAATTATGATAATCCATCAAGTTAAAGGTAATGATATTTACTGGTTTGGCACAAGCTAGGAACATGATGAAATGAAATGTTGGAATTCAGCAAAATACCACTGCTTTGCTCAGTATGAATCATGCAAGACAAGTGAAACGTCATGAGTCATGTCAGTAGTGTAGAGTGACTGAAAAGTCAGGCAGGTGGACAGAAGGTGCCTGATTGGCATTGTCCTGAAGAGCCAAAACTTGGGCCTCAATCCTGAGAGATGATCTAGGTGAGCAACACTTCTGAATTGTGTAGAATTCTGTTGATCTCAGTGAGATACTACATGGATCAGTTTGAAGCTTTGGGGTCTATTTGTTGTCGTGGAGAGTTTGGTACTTCTCATACCATATCTGTTGAGACCAAAAGGAAAAGATCTGCTATGGAATTGAGTCAAAGTTCAGTATAAGCAATGTGTATTTACTACTTTCAGTTTTCAGGTCTGTTTTATTGTTGGCTGCCTTAAAGTGCATGTGAAAACCAATAGGAACTAGTATTTAAAGTCTTACTGATTAAAGCTACTAAATCCTTACATTTCTTGAGCTTAATTTAGTAAAAAAAATAAATGTGATTTAAATACTGAAGTTCTAATATGGCTAGAGCACAGTGTGTTAACTGTCCTTTCATCTGTGTAAGTTGAGTTTCAAGTAGAAATTATTTTAACTTAATCTCATGTCAAATGGTCTCTTACATTTGATCTTTTAGTAGTAGTACTTGCAATTGTGCAGTTGCAGTGTTAAGGATAAAGTGAACACATTTGAATTTAACATTTCTCTACAGCAAATTATTTCACATCCTGTGACCTAACATTGCATGAACGCTTCTCCAAAATTCAAGATAAACCAGTTGCAAATCTAAATGAAGTCAAAATGCATTCAGATCCAGAAATTCACAGGTAATCGATACATTTCTTTCTAGTTTATATTGAGCAAAGTTGCTAGAAGCTTTGTTATATGTGCCGTTTAATGAACTTGAAAAGCAAATAAACAGAATTTTTAACCATTTAATAGAACCGTAAATTTTATAGCATGCAACTCTGTAATTGTCGGAAGCATTACCATGTTGGCCATGGTTGTTAGAAGGGAAAAATCAGTTAATTCTTTAACTTCAGTATATTCATTGTTATCATGTTTACTTATTATGCCAGGAGAATTGACATGTCTTTGGCAGAACTTCAGAATAAACGAGCCGTGCCATGTGAATCTGGACAGGTATGTTGTTTTTTTTTGCTTGGAAAAATAGTTAAACTGATGTACACATAAGTAATAACCTGCTGTTCTTTTTTTATGATAAAATTCTGACTCATCCCTAAAAATCCCATCTGTTTACAAATTTTGAAACCACAAATGATTCTATTCTTCTTTAAAAAATATCGTTTGCATTAATTCAGACAGTTTTAGAACTGAATTTTGATGAGGCAGGTATAATAAACCTCCCTGTTTTCTTGCTGAACAGGCAAGTACTTTTCACTAGTTGAAGTATTTCAGTGGCCATGTGTTATGACTTGGACCCAAATCCATTTTAAAGCACATGCTGTGTGGATCTGACTTTCCTTATGGAGGTCATGAAAGTCTTTATCCTTCCCCTAAACTGAATAACAGCATTTTTTTAGATAATGCTAATGCAGTGACACACAAGGTGCTTAAATGCTTGGGAAAAGGCTATCAGCCTAGCCAGGAATTTTTTGACAAATACTTTTATTGGGCAGTCCCCCCATCAAAACCAAAACTTTTCACTTTGATGGAACTTTGATTTGGCAAGGCTTTGAAGGACTGGGATGGAATTTTGGTTCAAGATTGGAGAAGGAGAAACTATCCCAGCGTACTCTGATGGTTGGAACACTGTACCAGGATGTAGAAGAAAAGGTTTTGTCTAACTGCTTTTCCAAATTTGGAGGAGAGACCTGACTATGAGACACTTCCATTCCAGATGAGTACTATAACTACCAAATTGGAGGCTACTTTAGAGGTCTTTTTCTCTCCTGTTGGAGTTTTATATTTTGATTGTTGATTAGAACACGGACTTAAACCAGGGGGTCTCTTTAGACATGTGTTTTTTATCATTACCCGCACTACAAAAATAGAGCACTATGAAGGATGCTCAGATGCAGTGGGTTCGTCTACATGAGATGCTAAATGTGCAGTAGACTAATTCTACTGTGCGTTAGTGCAGCAAGCAGAAAACATGCTAATGTGCAGTAGAACTAGTATGCTGCTCATTAGCATCATTAAAAAACGTGCTGGCGCTACTATACAGTAGCGCTGATTATGATGTATTAAGTCAGTACCTGTTATAGGTACTAAACTTAATGCGCTGTAATTATGGTTCATTAGTGAAAGTTTAGATGTGTTGCCCTCAGTCCACCATTTTGTGTGCTATACAGTTAACAGAGAGGCAGGTTCTCTAGTCAGAGTGGTAAGGGGTTGCTCTTCTGCTGCTCTTCCCCCCTCCACCTCAAGGGAGGAAAGCCTGTAAATGAGCCTGATCACTGAGAGCCTGCCCTCTCCCCCACCAGGGAAAGGTAACTATTGGGCAATCTGTCAGTACTTGAGTGGGTAGCATTGGCCTCTGACAATACCACTGCCTGCTGCAGTGATGGCAGCACCACTGGTCCAAGCTGCCATGGAAAGCAAAGCTGCACTGCCCAGGTCCTTCTTCCTTTCCTCCTGCCTTGGAGGGGTCGGGCATGTGGGAGATGGACCTAGAGACCACCTGTAGCACTACATGTAGCGTTTCAGTCATTACATACACTGAGTGCCCTGACTAAAGTTTGCCCTGGCCCAGGGCACATTTGAGTACATGCTCATGTTGTGAAGGAAATTGAAGTCTTGGTTTACATATTTATGTGGAGTAGGAACATTTTTAACTCATGAAAACTATTAGGGGACTGGAAGACCATTCTTGCTTAGGTGAGCCAGTGTGGCTTTGATCCCCAGAATAAGATGCAAACAGAAGAAGAAGCTTTCAGGGTCTTGTCTTAAATAGTCAGCTTGGCCCCCTTGTCTCTAAAACTGAGTCACCTGATAAGAAGTACTTGGCTGTTTCTCCAAGGAGTGAAAGGAGCCTGCTCAGAGCCTCCTGAGTCCTCTGTTTTTTCAGAAAGGAGATAGAGATGGAAGTTTCTAAGCAGCACTTGGAAAGGAACCTTCTGGTGTCAAGCATTATGTTCTGTCACCTTTAAAGGCAGCTGCCCCTGCCCAGTTCACCTACCTGAGTTGAAGCTTGTTCTGTCCTTGGAGCCACCTGGAATTTCTCTTGAACATGTCTTGAAAAATGAGGTCTCAGCTTTTTTGGGGTCTGTTTTCTAACCTGTGGCTGCAAATAAGTTGCTCATTTGAAGGTGCAGGCCCAAGGTCTTTTACTTAAGTACTCAGCCTACCTTCTGAGAATTCCTGCTGCTTGTTAATCTCCAGTAGCATAGCTCTGGAGGTTGCATCTTTTTTAAGAATGGCAGCCCACTTATGAGTAACTGGAGTTTGTGAATATTTTGTCTGCAGCTGTTCATGGAAACTCCTTCTCTGTCATTGTAGAATTTTCTAATTGGGTAAATGAAAAAGAGCACAGTTGCAGGACTGGACCATTGTAACCTTAGCTCCGTGAGTTCTCTCCCCCTATCCTCAGGGGGTTAAACAGCCTTAAAATAGTTATGCTAGTGCAGGGGATTAGACCCCAGTTTCCAGTGTTACCTTGAAGTTGGCTTGTTTGTTCAGAATAGTCCAGTTGCTGTTACTTGTCAGGTCTCCTAAGTTGTCTTATCATTTGCTTATTTTGAGAGAGAATTTTCATTCTGTTTCTTAGACAGTTGTGCGAGTTCTAGAAGATCCAAATGATCTACGTCATGATATAGAAAGAAGGAGAAAAGAAAGGCTGCTGAATGAAGATGAGCGAACGTTTTGCATAAATGATGTAAATAAAAGGTAAGCGACCCTTTGCAAATGTATCTGCTTGCCTAAGTCTGAAGTAGAACATGGGGCTCATCAGATATTTTGTTGTTGTTCTAAAGATTTACCTACAGTGGGAATCGTGCATGCTACAGTTGCTTCTGTAAGTCTGACCCCTGTGTTTTAGATACCAAATTCCATTAAAATCTATGAATGCTCCTAGAACTTACTTTGTAGCAACAAAGAACTGCCTTGAAAAAGGGAACAATATCACTTCTAGTAGTAATTTAATTTCAGTTTTTGCTAAACAGTGCAATAAAAATTGTTATATCTAATTTTTGCTAAACTTACATTTTAAGATTATACATAATACCTGTTTAAACAAAAATAAAGCAGAACATAGTATGATGATGCAAAAATAGATCAAATGAAGCAGTGGACAAGTAGTATGACAGGAATTATATTTAATTTTTGGCCTTTATTCTTTGTGCAAATAATGCAGATCAACCTAGGGAGTATAGGACAGTCTCTGGATTGTTAGAGAGAAGCCATAGTGGTTTTGGTTTTTGTTCTGATTAATTTTCCTCTTATTTCTTCAAAGAACAAATGAGACCATAAGTTGTTAATTTAAGTAATTTTTCTTCTTCCCACAATAACACATTCTGCTTGAATATGGAGTCCAACACCACCTGCCCACAACAACTCCAGATCTTATTCAAATGAATTGCAGTCTAGTAAAGGCTGCTTATATATAGTTGTGTACCGTGGATAGGTAGGTTTCTAGGTCAAAAGAGTGCTTTATTAATCTTTGAAAAAGGGCAAGTTTAAGAGTCTCTGTCTGACTGCCTATATGTCTATATGGTGTCATTTTCAATTCTTAAATTTTTTTTGTTTTCAATATAGGGAAAACGTTGGGTCAGTGATTTCCAGTGCATATCCCAGGCCATTTGTCTAGGAGAGCATACAGAGCAGGGGGTGACAACGTTTTTGGGCAGAGTGCCAAAACCGCCTGTGACTTCAACTTGTAAGGTGTTGGTGTGCCAGAAGCAGACAGCAGGGGAGCTATGAGGTGCCCGATCCTTGTTGTGGCAGCACAGACACAACCACAGTCGCCTCTCCACCGTCTGCTTCAAGGCATGCATGCACCCGCTTCCAGCAATGAGCCAGGCAAGGCTCTGTGGACTGAAGTGCAGGCTGCCTGCAACAGCTGGCTCAGTCTCTAAGTGGGCCCCTGCCACCCACCAAAGAGCAGGGGCTGCTTGCAGTAGGTAGCAGGGAGGCTGCGAGCAGCTGCACTGGGGTCTGCGGAGCCCCAGCCTGTTTCATTGCTAGGGGCAGGTGAGTGATGGTAAAGGGACTGGGGCTGTGTTGCCACAACAAAGATCAGGCCCCTTGCAACTTTCCTGCCATCTACCCTGAGGCACATGTGCAAAGCAAAATACCTTCATGTGCCACACTGTCACATGTGCTGGGGCTTGCTGACCCCTGTTATAAATGTTGTTTAGCCATCCAAACAAGGATTTATTTGGAAAAGCAGGGCGGAGAGCTTCTAAAATGCACTTTTAAGGTATCTGATGGGCATACCTGAAATAATTTTCATCCAATAACTTAAACTTGTAAATTGAGCTCAAGTGCTCATATTAATCAGTCCCTTTCAGAGCACATTAGCTCCCCCCATCACAGATGTAGACAGAGATAAAAGCTGACTTTTTATAAAGTGATTAGAGGTCTTTTCAATTTTATTTTTTTTATATAATAAAACCTCAGGGTCAGCACTCCATAAACCTGCATTGTACAATAAAATGGACTCTACCTTTATATGTATAGACTTCTAGTGCTGCCAGTACTGACTTTCTGCCTGTCTTATTGTATAAAGATAAAACTTCAGCCAAGGTTTGTTCTGTCCTAGTGCTTACATTTTCAATATACTTATTCCAACTCAGATTTTTAAGTAGATTCCAGGGTACTTAAAAGAAGATACAACCTATAACTTTTCCTGTGAAAACCAAACCAATTTCTTCCTTTTGTTATAAACTCCCCCAGCTCCCCAATCTCTTGGCTTCAGCCATCTTGCTTTTCAAGCCACCTGAGATGTAATACTGCTAAAAAGCATCTAATAGCCTTTGGAGGCCTGTTTGGGATTATGAAATTAATAATGTGTCATCTACATATCGCAAGACAGGAAAAGGATCGTTCAGTGTCATGCATGTGTGGAATTGATTTTCCATTAGCATGCATTTTAAGTCCCTTAAGAATAGATCAGCAAGTAGCAGAGCAAGCAAACATCCTGTCCTTAGTTGAGAAATGATTGGATAGGGCACAATCCTGTGATGCAACCTAGATCCTGTATTTGAATAGTAAATTGCAGTTTGCAGTTAATTCTAAGGGAACTCTAATTCTAACACCCATTGATGTTATGGCCAGTTTCTTCCATATTTTAAATCTGTATATAGAGTCAAAAACTTGCTTTAGATTTATGAAGGCTCACTTTTAATAAAGGTGAGTGAACTGCAGTGCAAAATTATACCTCATTTACATTCATTGTTCCTATTAGCCTGGTTGTTGTAAGGAAGAGGAAATAAACTCCAGATCTTATTTATTTTTTTATCATTTTAGAATTCCTCCTTCTGTACTGTAAAATCCTTGTGGAATTTCCCAGTTCACTAAATTACTTCTGTGAAGTCACTGTCTGCAATTCCTTCAAAGACCCAGAAAATTCTGAGAGGCTTTTTTTTTTTTTTTAAGGCTAGTGTGTTCTTGCGGCACCACGCACCTGCAGCTTGATTAGCAATAACATTGAACACCTACATTTCTCCTTACCTCAGTTTGCCTAGGCCATCTTTACTTCATTTTAAAATTAGCTGAATATAAATCAAATGATCTCTTCTACAGAAGAAATAGATGAGGGAGAACCTGCCAAAATATAACAAAACATTTCTTTGTTATAGAGCTTGATGTAATGATATCTTGTTTCATGGCAGTGGTGGATAATTTTAAATCTGAAGTTTATTAAATGGGAAGGAGATAATACCTAATGATAAGTAAACTAACTTGTGGTCTTGGAGCTGTGTGCTCAGACTTCAGTAAGGAGTGAGGAAATTAATTTTCATAAACTACAGTTCAGGCCTGCAATATTATTATGTTGCCCTTCTTATAAATAGAAATAAGAATTTTTCTGGGACATTGTACAAAGCACCTTATGAAATTTAACTGGATTGACTTGCTGCTGTTAGAGTCTCTTTGAAGATACCACAGCGGGTGTAGTTGGCATTCATTTAATAAGTATTTTCAAACAATAAGGACCTTACTATAAATGTAGCGAAATATAGATGCTAAATATCTTGCAGAGTTACCTTTCTTAAAAAGAGATGACCAATTTGAATAGTCCCAAAAATATATCTTGATTCTTGGCAGCTGCTTTTCATTGTAAATCTTTTTCTTATAAAAATATTGATACTTCCGTGTTTATGTTATATTAATTAAGAAGATATGTAGCCTAAGTAATGTGGCTGATTCAGGTGTGAACCTGAAACATGCAAGGGGCTTGTAGTATTATTTTATGTACAGCACTGTCTTTTTAAATTTCTGAAAAATCACAACATTTTTAGTGTTTTTATTTAGAAGACTATTTAATGGTGCCTGTGCTGTCTTCATTACTGGTGTAAATGACTTTTTTTTAAGTAGTGATGCCAGTTTAAATGTTTGAAACAGCTTTTTTAATTGAAACTTTGTAGATGATGCAAGAATAAAACTGAAATTTCAAGTCCTATAGAAGTAAGAAAGGGGTTTGTGCAGGATCTAGAAAAGAAAAGTGTTTTGTCCTTTTGTAATGTCTGTCTTGCCTTGTGCACCTCTGCTGGTTTTGGTGATATGGATCTTAAGGATTGTTTCATCCATGCAGAATTTCTTTTTAGGTTCATTTGATTTTTTTTTTTAAAGCTAGAAGGGCTGTAGATTGTCTAATATGGTTTCTTGTTTAACAGTGGCCAAAATTGGATTTCACAGTTCCACCTTCAGAAATTATTCTTGTCTCCTTATTAAGGATATCTTGCATACCTTGTGACCAGTATGTGAGCACATGAGGTTTGTATCTCTCAATCAGTGGGGCTCGTACTTGTAAATAGCTGGGTTTTTTAAAAAATCCTGCCCCTGTGTATAAAGAGAGACTATGGCTGTCCGGTGTACAGAATGTGGTTTGAGGAATACTGCTGGTGACTTTTTCTTTTTTAGCTCCACGTGCATAGACTACTGTGATTTGAACAACTAAAACCTTTATTTTTTATTAGAGTAGTAACACATAAGTTGTTGCTGGACAGCCACACAAGTTTAACTATAGTATATTTCAGCCAGCAGAGGGCAACCTTAAGCAATCTTTATAAATCACTGAATTGTTTGTTGTGGAATACCATGGTGAGGATTCCAAAAAGCAAAAATGTACCTGCTGGTTTGTTGTCTATACATTATTTCAAATAATTGTATGTAATTTTGCTTTCAGCAAAACCAGGCCACTAGTGATTTGTCAATTAATGTGCCAGTTTAATATTTTTCTTAATACTTTGCTCTATTCTTGGTGTCATTTTAAAGCACAGATAACTTTTATAATAGCATAGTTTTGAAATAGTGCTGGCTTAGATGTGTTTTTTTTTGTTTGTTTTTGTTTTTTTATTGCCTTTTGTTCAGGAACAACCAGAGCTGCAGCTTTTTGAAATTACGGAACTCCCAAATTGATGGATTCCAAAAGCCTATAAGGTTCCTAAAACCACCTTTCAGGAAATTTATTAGGAAGCCTCACATAGTAAGTTAAAATGATACAGTTCCATTTCCTTAGCTTTTGTTCTATTTTTCTTGTGCTCCATATTTAAAAACTTGCTGTGTTGGCTGCGGGACATGAATTTTAAGTTTCTCTGCCTCACATTAAGTTTCAGAAGATCATTCACTGTCTTAATGTTTGTCTCTTTAAATTTGCATCTAAACAGGACTAAAATTGTATTGACTGTAAATAACTACTGCACCTGAACTGCCTTAAGTTGCTGTGGTTTAGTTTACAAAAGCATTTAGGCTTGTATGAGTCATGCTTTCACAAACTTGGTTCTTGTGTTGCTGGATGCCTCTGTGGTACTTAGGGAAAGAAGAAAGAAAGGAAGAAAAGTGGGAAGTTTAAACCTGCCGAAGATATGTTAATTTTGGGTAGGAACACTGATTTAGGCTTACAGTGATTGGATCTTTCTGATTTCTAGTGGAGGTCTGTTTCCACATCTCACTTGAGGTAACAAAAGTAATTCTGAGCACTTATTTTCATTTCAGTAGCTCAGAAGGAATCGTGAATTGGAAATCTGGATTGCTAGTAGCCTTATTACAGAATTGATGTATCGCACTGTCTTGTACCTAATAAAATAGCTCCCACCTGATGTACCAATTATATGGGTTTATTATTGTCCGACTCTGAAGTCAAATGCAAAAGTTTTGGGGAACCACACTCTGAAAGGTAGATGAAGGGTCTGTTCACTAACACAAACTGATTTAAATATGCCTTTTGCTTACGTTCATTTCCTACTACAGAGACTTTTTCTCTCTTAATGAACAAAACCACAAGTTCCTGAAAATGCCCAAGGAAAAGGAAGTTGGAGCATAGAAATGATCAAACATGCTTATAATCTGTTTTTGTAGATGTATGATGATAAATTCCAGTTAATCTAATTTTAATTCTAGATTTCCTGGTGGGTACAGAGTAAGTAAAAGAAACTAGACTGGAGATTTGTCTAAACTGTGGTCTCTTAAAGATTAGAGTCTTGACTTATGTAGTTGGTATCTTGCTGTCAAACTTTTGGCCAACAAACTTCTGTAGTATGGTAGAAGCTGCCTTGATCTGTTAGAACATTTTCACTCGGTGCTGAAATGCAGTTCCTTTGGGGTTGTAGCATGACGGCTATAACAAAACAACGCAACAGACTACTTTACCAAAAGGTGAATAATACTTGGAATTAAAGCCAAAGCTGTTATACATGTGAAACCAGTTTGTGTTGGCAGTGTTGTGTGTGAATAAAAAGAGGTTAGTTTGAAGTAAGAACAGAATTACTGTATTTATTGTATTAAGGGTTCCTTGAAAATTTATAGCTGGACGTTTGACAGGAAACTGAAAGCAAGGAGCCCTTGCTTGGTAGCAGGTGCCTTTTCCTTGATGCTTACAAGTTCCAGCAGTGAAGAGTTGCTGAGTACAAAGCAGCAGGAGCTATGAAAGAATGATTACTGACTGATAGAGGGGAGGGATTTTGTGTGTGCATGCGCATGTGTATACCGAGCATGCGCTACTTAGCTTACAGATGACTGTGGAGACCAGAACTTACAATCCAGACACCAGCAAAAAATATTACCAGTTGTTTTTGGTTGGAATTCCTGCTTAAGACTTGCCATGTGACGATCACGTTTTCTGCTATCCTGCCTTGCCCTTTGCGTCTGTTTAACTATTTTCCCTCTTGACTTCTGTTTCCATGGGGGGTTTTTTCTTTTGCTTTTGCCTTCTTTTTATTTTGCTCCTTTTTCCTAACACTTCAAATGTATCTATGTGGCCAAATGCTGCATGCGTATACTGTACCGCACATGCATTATGCCATGTAAGATTATGCTGGAAGACTGCATGGCAGACTTCATGGCTATTTCTTTGCAGCAGAGTGGCTCAAGTTCTTGCAGCTGAGCTGAGGGCTGGGGGAAAGGAGCTTTTCCTCATTGTGTGTACCTTAAGCCTGATCTCCGTGCAAGTGGCTACTGAAGCTGTAATGACATACTATCATTAGAGCAGGGAAATAAGGTGGCTTCCAAAGAGTCATGCAGCTTTTGATTTGAAATGGCAGGCTAATTTTGCTTTATCAAACAGATCTTGAAGTAGATCCAGAGCTGTGTAGCTTTCTTTGCATCCAATGCTCTTGGCTTCTGGAGTCTGATACTTACCTGAAGCAGTGTAAGACAGAAAAGTTAACAGCATTTGTTTAAGCAGTAGTTCCCTAACTATGGTTACACCCTTGACTGGAGTTGTGAACCCTAAAGAGCACCCAATTACCCAATTAAGTAGAAGGATGAGGACTGATCCCTGTTAAATATTTTTGTGCTCATAATTGCCCTATGGTAAATGAAAGGCAATTTAGGACCTATTTCACTTAACTAATTTCCCTGGATTAACTTTCACTGTCGGGGAAGAATGAGCACCAAAACAGTTACCACAAAGCAGCTGAGGTACTGTTAATTCCCTGCCCCTGCCCTTTTGCAAGTATCATAAACAAATAGAGTAGTATGGGGAAAGGGATACGAATTGTAGATATGCAAGTGGAGTCATAACCAGAAAAGGCGTGGGAATCCCTGCATATCTAAGAAAAAAGTGAATGAAAAGCAAACTCTGAAATATCTCATTTTAAACAAGAAAATGAAACTGAAACTAGCAAGTGAAAATATGTTAATTATCGACAAAGAACAGATAAGGAATTGTATTTAAATTTGATCATATTTAAATTACTTAGTTTACAAAATATGCTCTCTGATATTAAGAGAATCATTAATAACGATGCACATTTCAGAAATTCTGAAGTGTCATAGAAAACTAGGTATGTACCAGATTATTAGGAAAGGGGGAAGAAAAGTAGATCTTCAAAATAAAGATTTAATCCCCTCAACTTTCTAAGTAAAAAGTCCATTTTCTTCATGCTGATGCGCATTTCAGCACTTATACAACTCCAAGGGGCTTTTCAAAGTGCCCAGCTCTGCGGCACTTGCACATATAAAAATACCTGAAGAGTAAAGTGGAATTATAGGCATAAAAGAACTATATAAAATACATTTGGGGATACATTTGCTATTTAATTTTTTCAGGCTGCTCAAAGTAGGGGAAAGTAAATTAGAAGACACATGCTTAGATTTCAAGGCCGTGTTAGTATTGTGCAGAATGCTGCTTTCAGAATAAATTCAAGCTGGCTCAGAATAAATAATGTTATATGGTTTGAAAATGGAGGAGGGCTACATGTCAGAGACGGGATTAAAGAGAAGCATATCAAATTTGGGAAAGACGCCCAGTGGGCTAGTAGAGTATTGAGGTTGGGTTCAGCCTTACTAAAGACTTTCATTTAATGCCCTAAAAAGTGATGTATGGATGGATCATAACAGTACAGAAGAGAAGAGATACCAGGTAATAATTGGATAATGAATTAATGCAAGCCTAGAAAGATGGGCAAAAAATTGATTGAGATTTAGGTTAAAAAATGCATGCCAGTTACCTAGAGGGGAAAGAGATGTGGAAGAAAGTAACCTGAAATGTTGAGACTTAGGAGTTTGTGGAACATTAAATGTGAAATGCTAATGTAATATGGAAGCAAAATAAGCTATTAGCTAACAGATGTATAAATGATTTTGTTGCAGGATAATAAAAAACTAAGAGAGCACATAATGGAACAAGTGTTATTTTGCTCTGTTCAGTTCACTTTTCCATAATGGTGCTAGGCTGTGCTAAAACTTTTGTTCCAAAAGAAGAAGCCTACTTTTAAATTATATGAAACATTGCAAATGTAAAAAAACAAAAGAGTTGCAGTTTTGAGTTTTTCTTTTAACAGGTTAATAACACCCCAAATTCAGTGCAGCCTGTTGTACAGGATGGATTTTTTACTGCAGAGAACACATAACCATGTAGGATGGGTACTCAATTCCTGGCCTGTAGTCCAGATCTGCCCTCAGCGCCATGTCATCTGGCCTACAGGGCTCCCACAATACTACCACCACTCCCCTGTTGCAAAATTTCTGGCCCCCTTTTAAGTTAGTTTGCTTTTGTTTACAGGTAACTATAGGGAGAGATTGTACTAGAGAGACACATTTCCAAGTGGAAACCTGACAAGGAGGCATAAAGCTTTAAAATGGTACTTTAAAAAGAATATTTAGGTCAAAAATAAGTCCTTGAAGTTACCTAAACTGAAGCTTGATGCTAACATTAGATTGAAAAACTATAGTGTTAGATATTTCTGTAAAATTTTTGAACTTCCATTAAATACAGCAGGCCAGAAACCCTGAAATATTTTTATATAGGCACCAACCAGTGTTGAAACTAGTTATTTCTGTATAGCAAGGCATATTGTATATTAAGGCTTTGCTTGATTTAAGAACTGATAGAATGTGTGTGTGGGTGTGTGTGTGTGTACATGTATATAATATACATATCATCTATTTCATATATATAGGGGGTTTGTTGGGTTTTTTAACATGTCCTTGGGCCCAACTACTTTAAAAGTACTACTACTAAAATGTAAAGTCCATTTTGGTTTTGCTATTCTTGTTAAATGAATAATATTAGGTAGTTGTGTATCCAATATGCCACATGAAATTGCCAGTACATTCTGTCTTCAGCTGTGGTAGAAATGAGCTGTTTCATAGTAAGGTACAAGATCTTTATACCCCTCCCCTATGTATTTTCTGTATTCTCTCTCTCTCATCTATCAGATTATCTGCTCCCCCTTCCCTAAGAAGGCTCAAGGAGCTTGCCTAAAAAGTCTTACAAGCTAGAGGTTAAGATCCCTGTAGTGTAAGGTTTTTATCTTCTTTTCACTACTTCTTTAAAACTATTGTAACTGAAAATTCATGGTAGGCATTTCAGCTGTGAAACTGCTTAAATTCTTGTCCTCAGCAATATCTATTGAGGTAGTTAACCAAAGACTGCAGCGCTGATGTCATCCTGAAGGCTTTGGCTTCCACAATCACAGTCCGCTCTTTGGTGAGAGAGGCAGTGGTCTGGTGGGAGGAGATGGCCTCCACCTCACTGCACTGGGGAGGAGGCTCTTCTCAGCCAGAATGGCTGACCTGCTCTACCGGGCTTTAAACTAAGCCCACCAGGGAATGGGGGGGACTACCGTTACAGCAGGCCCATTGGGCAACTTTTGCAAATCCAGCAGGCTAAGGCACTCGAGGGAACCCACCCCTACCTCAGCCTCAGAACGACGTGTAGGGAGGACTAGGGCCTTCAATGGAGCACTTACGTGCCTGTACACCAATGCCAGGAGCTTGGGGAATAAGCAGGAGGAACTGATCCTCCTGCCAAGCAAGAATGACTATGATCTTATAGGGATAACGGAGACCTGGTGGGACTCCACCTATGACTGGGCCACAGGTATAGACAGCTATACCTTGTACAGGAGAGATCCTGTAGACAAAAGGGGTGGGGATGTAGCTGTCTATGTCAAGGAAAGCTACGTGTCCCTGCAAGCCAACATTGGCATCCAAAGTGGATGACTGAAGACTCTGGGTTAAAATCCACAGTGAATGTGGCACAGGGGACACAATGGTAGGAGTGTACTACAAACCTCCTAATCAGGATCAAGAGCTCAACCAGGAATTTGCTAAGGAACTGGCTGAAGCTGCATACTCCTGGTGCATGGTTGTCATGGGAGACTTCAACTACCCACACATCTCTTGGGAAGAGCGCTCGGCCAAATCTGAATGGTCGCAAAGCTTCCTCACGTGTGGAAGCTTTGAGCTCTGTTTGACTCAAGAAGTCTATGGACCAACAAGAGGCAAAGCAGTGCTCGATCTGGTACTAGCAATGGGGGCTGATCTAGTCAGTGACCTAATGATCTAAGGGAAGCTGGGAGACAGTAACTATGAGCCGATCACATTCATTATACACTGTAAAGCTGGCAAGTCAGTAAGCTATGCTGAAGTCCTGGACTTCAGGAAAGTTGACTTTGACAAGCTCAGGAGGCTTGTTTGCAAGGCCCCTAAGAGACCACGACCCAAAGGGGAGGGGAGTTCATGATGAGTGGTTGCTTCTCAAGGGAGTGATCCTGAAAGCACAAGCAATGTCTGTTCCATCTCGGATGAAAGGTAGCAAAAGGGCACAGCAGCCCCCTTGGCTCTGCAGGGAACTTGTGGACCTCCTGCATCTAAAAAGAAAGACCTATAAAGGATGGAAGACTGGAACTACCTCAAAGGAGGAGTATTCTGCACTGGTCCGAACCTGCGGAGAGCAAACCAGGAAAGCCAAGGCTGCTAGTGAACTCCAACTGGCTACATGTATCAAGGCCAATAAAAAGTCATTTTTTAAATATGTGGGGAGCTGGAGGAAAAACAAGGGTCACAGTGGACCCCTGCTAAACCAAATGGAACAACTGACAGCTGACACCCAGGAAAAAGCCAACTTGCTTATTGGGTATTTTGCATCATTTTTTCACCACCCCAAGGGATGGCCCTGCTCAATATGGTACAGGATGGACAAGGTGAGGGAGAATTGTTACCCTTCATCAATGTAGACCATGTGAAGGAATACCTTGAGAGGCTGGACACCTTCAAGTGAGCTGGCCCAGACAGTTTACACCCCAGGGTACTTAAAGGAACTGGAAGGCATCGTAGCTCAGCCACTAGCACAGGTCTTCAAGAACTCGTGGCACTCAGGTGAAGTGCCTGAAGATTGGAAGAAGGCCAGTGTGGTGCCTATCTTCAAGGAAGGGAGGAAAGTAGATCTGGGGAACTACAGGTCTGACCTCTATCCCAGGGAAGATCTTGGAAAAAATTATCAAAGAGACCATTCTTGACAAGCTTGCTGGTAGCAACATCCTGAGAGATAACCAGCAGTAGTTTATTGGGGGTAGGTCTTGCCTGACCAATCTCATCTTCTATGACCAGGTGACATCATTTGGACAAGGGAGAAGAGATTGACGTCGTATATCTTGATTTTTAAAAAAGCTTTCGATCTGGTATCCCATCACCTCCTCATGGAAAAATTGGCCAACTGTGGCCTCTGCTACATCACAGTCCAATGGCTGGGGAATTGGCTCTGAGGTCGGACCCAGAGTGTAATAGATGGAAGTAAATCATTGTGGTGCACCATGAACAGTGGGGTCCCCCAAGACTCTGTTCTTGGGCCTGTACTCTTTAACATCTTTATTAACGATGTAGACATTGGTATCAGAAGCAAACTGGCCAAGTTTGATGACACCAAACTTTGGGGTAGAGCGTCCACACCTGAGGATAGGATGGTGATCCAGGCTGACCTAGACAGGCTCAGAAAATGGGCGGATGAAAACTTGATGGCATTCAACATCGAAAAATGCAAAATACTCTACCTTCGGGTAGGGGGGAACACAGCACGCTTATAGGCTTGGGAGTGCTACGCTTGCTAGCGCCACAGCTGAAAGGGACTTGGGGGTCATGATTGACCACAAGGTGAGCCACCTATGCAATGTCACAGCTGGTAAAGTGAGCAAAACTCTGGCTTTCATCCATAGGTGCTTCTCAAGCAAATCCCAGGATGTCATCCTCCTGCTGTACTTGGCCTTGGTGAGGCCGCAGCTGGAGTACTGCATCCAGTTTTGAGCTCCACAATTTAAAAAGGATGTGGAGAAGCTTGAGAGAGTCCAGAGAGCCACGTGCATGATCAGAGGGCAAGAGAACAGGCCTTATGATGAGAGGCTGAGAGCCATGCGACTTTTCATCCTGGAAAAGTGCAGGCCTGGGGGGAACCTGGTGGCTGCCTATAAGCGGTGTGCATTAGGACCTGGGGAAATGCCTGTTCACCAGAGTGCCCCAAGGGATGACAAGGTCAAATGGTCACAGACTCCTCCATGACCGTTTTAGGCTGGACATAAGGAAGAATTTCTTTACTGTCTGAGCCCCAAAGGCCTGGAACAGGTGGTCCAAGCACCTACTCTGGACTCCTTTATGAGACATTTGGATGTTTATCTTGCTGGAATCCTTTGACCCCAGCTGACTTCCTGCCCCTGGGGTAGGGGGGCTGGACTCAATGATCTTCTAAGGTCCCTTCCAGCCCTAGTGTCTATGAAATATGTAAAAATCTATGAAATCTAGTAGCAGTGAGTTCTATAATGCAGTTGTTGTCTGTAAAAGCTAACACCTTTTAAGTTTTGTTGACATATCCATGTTTGTGACTTCCTGATGGGCCTCTGTATACCTGTCACTTATTTCCATTCTAAAGTAAACACTTTCTATTTTTACCTCTGTTTTCATAAGACTTTCTTTTCCATGACCCTAATCATTCTTTGTCCTTTTCAGACGAGCTGACTGTTGAACGTGGTCTTCTAGTTTAATACTGAGTGAGATTGTTTGCATCGTGTCACTGCAGTACTTCCCATAATACTCTCTACCCCAGTAGCAGTGGTCAGAAAAAAACCCAAGTGCTTGAAGAGTTGTTCACCATGATGCCTTATCTCTAACAATTTCTTTTCTGGAATTAATCAACCTAAATAACTGTTTGCAAATGTAGTTGCTTCATACTCCTGTCTTTTGGTCATTAACATATGAGATTCCATGCTTATTTTGTACCATAGTGACAGCTGACCACTTAACTCCTTTCAGTTTTTCAACTGTGAAAATATTTTGCTCTATACGCTATGTCTATATAGATGGGGGGGGAGTTAATTCTTTTTGGAAGGAACTTAATCTACTGGTTGATTGTTTTTGTTTTTTTTGTTTTAAAAACCCTAGTATTTTCACAATTGGCATCTAAATTTAGTAAGTTAACTGGAGACATCTCTCTATTACTTGCAACCTAAAAATAACTTATCTCCTATCTCAGTGTGAGTTGACGTAGTGTCCTGTGGCGCTGGCTCTGGGCTTTTTTGAGGGGAAACCTCAGCTGGACAGATCTGGTGAGCTTACAGCCAAAGGGGCCCTGTTTCACAGTAGTGCTTTGCATCAGCTGCTCTGGGTCTGAAAGCAGTCTGCCCACCTTGAGTTTAAGTTCATTAGATGAATGCACTATTGCAGTTCTGTTGCCTTAAACCAGAACTGTTACACTTTAGCTACAGGAACATATACAGGACTATTTACGATGTTCTGAAAGATTGCTTTACTGTTGCATTAAAATACTGTGTGTTTAAACCAGTATATCTTATTCTTCTAGAATCCTTATTATGCTGCAAAAACAAATGATATCTTTACTCCCAGACGAATTAGAGGACACCTTGAAAATCCTGGACCCATCAGAAAACCATTTAAGGTATTGTTTATTTCGTGCCAAAAATTTATGTGCGTTTTGGGTTTTATTTCAAGTCCTGTAATTTGGGTCTTGACTAACATAACACAAAGAGAAGGATTTCCCAATGTTGCCAGCATAAGCTGAACTCTGCTTCTATTGACATAATGAGAATTTTACCCTTGTAGTGTTAAGATCTTAGTGAAAAAAAAAATGCACTATTTTTCTTCCCTGTTCTGTAACTGCTGCGGTATTGTTGTATCTTGGGATGGGTGGTATTCGAATTGGGCACCTCAGCAATCTGAAGTCATCTGATTTGTTTCAGGGTTCAGTTCTGAATAGCTGTAGTAAGGGAGAGGGCAGGCAGAAGAGACGGTTGAGAAGAGTTTTGGTCAAGTAAAGGGAGCACAAGATGATATGATCGTGCTAAGCAATAAGCAGGATACAAATGGCCTCAAGAGCAAACATAAGAATTGGAATTGTGAGAATGGAGAGTGACTGAGGCTGTACTATCTCCATGCCACACCTGGGGATGAAGCCTACTCCATTCACTTCCTGCCCTGCTGGGTGGGAGTGAGGGAGGGGTGCACATGCATGTGCATGCACAACCTCAAGTCTTGGAAAGGAGGCAATGTAGAGCAGGTCTGACTATCTGTGTGGATGCTCAAGAGGGATGGTGGGCATATAGCACTCCCTGGCATGCATGGAAGCAGCATAGTCATGCCCTAAAATAACTTGACCTTTTTGTAACGGGTCATATGTGCATTACACTAGTAATGCTTACCCCTAATTTTAGTTCTGGTTTGACTGTCCCACTCCTAGAGTCAGCTTCAGCCTTGTGGTTTCTCTTGCTGTCATCACTTAACATATGAAATGCAGATTGCTGTTTTCCAGGCCTGAGAGAAAATGTTACCTCCTCTATCTGCTGAATGCTATGTACTCTTTCATTTTCCGTTCACTGAAAATCTATATAACATGTCCCAAATGTTAACTTTAATTAAATATCCCATACTTCGCTATTATATTTCCTCACATGTATTGTTTTAGGGTTTTGTTGTTCATAAAACACCTCAGATATCAGAGAGCAAGCAAACTCATCCCCTTCTGAGGTATACAGAGCTTTTCCAATACCTCTTGGCTATAAAGCACACCATGGGATCAGAGTCAATTAAATCTAAAACAGAGATTACTTCTATTTCTTCCTCCCTGTTGTGAGTGGCTTGCTGTGCACAGGTCCAATTAGGGCCAATCTTAACAGGAAAAAAGTATTAATCAAATCTTGGACAAGTTGCTCTAGGTTTCCATTTAAGAGTGACCTTACTACCATTTTCCTTAAATATAAAACAGCCCCCCTGCCAATAATTAGATTCTATATATGGAAATGTTTTATATATTTGTTATAATTTTCTAGGTATAGAATCTGAGTATTGGAGGGTTGTCTTGAATCCTCCCTTCCCTCACTGCTACAGCAGAGAAAGCAGTGGTGGCGGGGTGGGGTTAGGTGGCCCCCTCGTGCTCTGCCCTGCCCACTTCTTCCTGCATCCTTCTTACTCCCCACCCCAACTCCTCATAGTCTCTGTCTCTTTCCCCTCCCTTCTTCCCCATTCCCCCCAGCATATGCCTTCCCTCCCTGCCTCTTATTGTTGGATGCTGCTCGGGCTGCACAACACATGAATGCTTAGCCCTTGCCTGGCTATGCAACAGTGTAAATGCTGCTGATTGGCCGGGCAGGGGAAGCAGTTTCCATGTGCTCCATGCAGAAGAGAGACCCCAACCCAAGCTGGAACTGAGCTGTGCCTGACAACAAGGGGGTGGGGAGGGCAGAAGCTGCAGAGGAGAAGTGGGGTGGGGGGGCAGGTCAAAACTGACCTGGGCTTAAGGCCAGTATCAGAGCAACAGCAGTTGCCTGCTTTCCTGCCCCCCCCCATCTACTTTGTATTCAAATATAAGATGAGGGACTCCCACCTGTGCTGATCGCGGGGGGTGAGCAGGAGGCAGTAGTCTTATATTTGAGTAAATGTGGGCATTACTGAAGTATTTGGGTCTTTGTCCCAAAGTCTTCCTTTCTACTGTATTATATCTTTTCTATGAGCCAAGTGAATCACTTAGCCTACTTTCACCACAAATGTTTCAGATGAGCCATTGAATAAGTGGTGCTTGTTTCAGTGTATTTACATCTTGCAGATAAGGAAATTAAGACAGAATAGTTGCACAATAAGTTTACCCAAGTAGTTGGCATCAGGACTCGAATTTAAATATCAGACTTCCTCATTCTTATTTCATACCTACAACAATAAAAATCTTTATAGACTTGCAGGTTCTCCTATCCTCACCAGAAGTGTCTTCCTCTGTACCTATTATTAAATGCACATGAACTAGTCAGGAACCCAGAGAACTGTCTTCAAAGCTTTTTATGTGTTGTTAATTTAAAATTGTTTTTTTACAGTAAAACATCATTTGAGGTCTTTAATTTACTGTTGGTGTAAGGCCCTATATGTCAGTCTGTTCTTGCCCTCTATAGTGAGCCTATGAGTTTGTTACACCAGGCTGATCCCTGGCTCCCGTATCACCCTTGTGGAGGTGTCAACAGCTGATGTAGAATAGGCTGAGGATTAGAATTCTGCCTAGGACTGTGGGAGCATAAAGGTGAGCTTTGTCACAGTTACATACATGCATTTGCTTTGTGGCTGCGAATGATCTATTCCATGTGTACTTTAGTATCATTATGGGCAGGCAGCCCATACAGCAGTACTGCATTTGGCATATATGTAACAAATGTTGATTTTTTTTTTTGACTTATTAAAATATTAGGTTGGTAATTTTAGGGGGGTTTTGCATTGAATTTTTTCTTTAT